TATGTCAGGTATAGACGACAGAGATTGAGTGAATCCCTAGAAGAGTATAAAGGCAGTAGGCTTACACGTAAGAGGGAAATCAGGAGGGCAAAAAAGGGATATGAGATAGTTTTGGAAAATAGGGTTAAGGAGAATCCAAAGGGATTCTACAAATACATTAAGGACAAGAGGGTAACTAGTGAGAGCATAGGGCCCCTTAAAGATCAGCAAGATTGTCTATGTGTGGAACCACAGGAGATAGGGGAAGATACTAAACGAGTATTTTGCATCCGGGTTCACTGTGGAGAAGGATATGGAAGATATAGAATGTGGGGAAATAAATAACGACATCAGAGGTGGTGGTGCTGGACATCATAAAATGCATAAAGGTGGATAAATCGCCGGATCCTGATCAGGTGTACCCTAGAGCTCTGTGGGAGGCTAGAGAAGTGATTGCTGGGCTCCTTGCTGAGATATTTGTATCATCAATAGCTGCAGTGAAATGCCAGAAGATGGGAGGTTGGCTAACGTGGTGCCACTATTTAAGAAAGGTGGTAAGGAAAAGCCAGGCAACTATAGACCGGTAAGCCCGACATCGGTGGTGAGCAAGTTGTTGGAGGGAATCCTGAGGGACAGGATTTACATGTATTTGGAAAGACAAGGGCTGGTTAGGGATAGTCAACATGGCTTTATGTGTGGGAAATTATGTCTCATTAACTTAGTTGAGTTTTTTTGAAGAAGTAACAAAGCAGATTGATGAGAGTAGAGAGGTGGACGTGATCCATATGGACTTCAGTAAGGCATTCAACAAAGTTCCTCATGGTAGACTGGTTAGCAAGGTTAGATCACATGGAATACAAGGAGAACTATCCATTTGGATACAGATCTGGCTTGAAGGTAGGAGACATGGTGGTGGTGGAAGTTTGCTTTTCAGACTGGAGGCCTGTGACCAGCAGTTTGCCACTGCTTTTCATCATTTATGTAAATGATTTGGATGTGAACATAGGAGGTATGGTTAGTAAGTTTGCAGATGACACCAAAATTGGAGGTATAGTGGACAGCGAAGAAGGTTACCTCAGAGAAGAATGGGATCTTGATCAAATGGGCCAATGGGCTGAGGGGGGCACGTGCAAATAGAGTTTAATTTAGATAAATATGACGTGCTACATTTTGGAAAGGCAAATCAGGTCAGGACATACACACCATGGTAGGATCCTAGGGAGTGTTGCTGAACAAAGAGACCTTCGCGTGCAGGTTCATAGCTCCTTGAAAGAGAAATTGCAGTTAGACCATATGGCCATAAAACAAAGGAGTGGAAATTAGGCCATTTGGCCCATCAAGTCTGCTCTGCCATTCAATCATGGCTGATAAGTTTCTCAACCCCATTCTCCTGCTTTGTCCTCATAACCAGTGATGAATGTGTTTGGTATGCTTACCTTTATTAGTCAGTGTATTGAGTATAGAAGTTGGGAATCATGTTGCGGCTGTATAGTACATTGGCTAGGCCACTTTCGGAATACTGTGCGCAATTCTGGTTTCCCTGCTATAGGAAGGATGTTGTGAAACTTGAAAGGATTCAGAGAAGATTTACAAAGATGTTCCCAGGGTTGGAGAGTTTGAGCTATAGGGAGAGGCTGAATAGGCTGGGGCTATTTTCCCTCAAGTGTTGGAGGCTGAGGAGTGACTTATAGAGGTTTATAAAATCATGACGGGCATGAATAGAGTAAATAGACAAAGTCCTTTCCCCAGGATCGGGGAGTCCAAAAATATAGGGTATAGGTTTAAGGTGAGAGGGGAAAGATTTAAAAGGGACCTAAGAGGCAACTTTTTCATGTAGAGGGTAGTGCGTGCATGCAATAAGCTGCCAGAGGAAGTGGTGGAGGCTGGTACAATCACAACATTTAAGAAGATATTTGGATGGGTATATGAATAGGAAGGATCTAGAGGGAAATGGGCCAAAGGCTGGCAAATGGGACTAGATTTATTTAGGATTTCTGTTTGGCATGAACGAGTTGGACTGAAGGGTTTGTTTCTATGCTGTATATTTCTATGACCGTATGAGAAATGAACTTATTGAAATATGTAGGATTCTTAAGGGGATTGACAGGGTAAATGCTGAGACAATAATTCCCCTTTAGGACCAGAGGGCATATTTTCAGAATTAAGGGTGCCAACTTAAGGCTGAGATGAGGAGGAACTTCTTTTCTTAGAGGGTTGAGAGTCTTTGAAACTCCTTGTCACAGAGAGGAGTTGTGGGGCAGAGTCCTTATGTATTTTTAAGGCTGAGTAGATCGATTCTTGATTGGTAGAAGAATTAAGAGTATATGGAAAGGGAGGGAAGTGTATGTAAGGAGTGTCAAATCAGCTATGATCCTACGGAATTGAGGAGAGGCTCAATGGGCCAAATGGCCTACTCCTGTTTCAATTTCTTATGGCCTGTGGTCTTTTTTTACATGCCGTCACTATATTCAGATTTATTCTCTGTCTAAACATATAGCTACTGTTTAGGAGGCCTACAGACTATTCCATCAGTGTCTTCTTCCTCTATTTACTTCTTACCTCTACCCAAATGGATTTTATATCTTCCAATCCTAGATCATTTCATGCTTTCATACTTATTCCATCCTGTACTAACAATGCTACCTCACCACTCTTTCCCTCCTTTCGCGAAAGTCACATATCCCTGAATATTTAGTTCCTAGCTTTGATCTCCTTGTAACCAAGTCTCTGTGAAGATGATAAGATCATACCCATTTACCTGGATCTTTTCTGTTAATTCATTCATTTTGTTCTAAATGCTACATGCTTTCAAATAAAGAGCTTTTAATTTTGCCTTTGTATCATTTTCATTTCCTTTGACCCTATTTACTGCTGTTTTTCTATCTTTGTACACACCCTCCTTTCCTGTCCCACCTTGGGTATTGTTACTCAAATTGATGCCTTGTAATGCTGCCATATCCTTTTGCTTTGTAAACCTACATTTCACCTCTCCCATACTCTCCCCCTCCCCCTCCCCGTCCCCCTCCCCCTCCAATCAGTTTAAATCCCGGCGATTGGTAATAGGACCACTGTTTCCTTTCTATATCTTAATGAATTGCTCTTTGTAGTAGCAGGCCAGAGTTCCAAAATTTGCAGATGACACAAAATTTGGAATTATACTAAACTGTGAGGAAGAAAGCGATTGACTTCAAGAGAACACGGACAATTTGGTGGAAGGGGCAGACACGTGGTACATGATATTTAATGAGAATTACATGATATGTCGAGAAATGCAAAGTAATACATTTTACTAGGAAGAATGGGGAAAGATAACTTGAAATAAAGGTGGGAATTTAAAGTGGGTGTATGAAGAGAGACCTGGGGCATACAGACACAAAATGCTGAAGGTAGTAGGTCAGGCAGCAAATGATGAATAAGGTATACATAATCCTGGGCTTCATGAAGGCATAGATTTCAAAAGCAAGGAAATGAATCTTTATAAAACACTAGTTTGGCCTCAGCTGGAGCTTGTGTTTAATTCTGGTCACTGCACTTTGAGAAAGGTATGAAGACGTTAGATGTGTGGAGGTTTCCGAGCAGATTTGGAAAAGACTTCCGAGATCACTCCAGGGGTTATGGACTTTGCACAACAAGCTGACACACAGGGATAGTTGGATGCTTAAGCAACTGTAAATTGAGTTTTAAAGGGCACCAGCACCTTCTGACATGTGCACTGTTTAAAATTAGGTGGGGAAAGTTCTGACTGTTTTACTGAAAATAAATTTAATTTTTTCTTTGTATTTTTGCGACCTCCACCCCTAGTAATTGATTGATTTTAAAAAATTCATTAATAGGATGAGGGCGTTGCTGGCTAGGCAGCATTTATTGCCCATCCCTAATTGCCCAGAGGGCAGTTCAGAGTCAACCACAATTGCTGTGGGTCTGGAGTCACATGTAGGCCAGACCAGGTAAGGATGGCAATTTCCTTCCCCAAAGGACATTAGTGAAACCAGGTGGGTTTTCCCTGACAATCGACAGTGGATTCATGGTCATCATTAGATTCCTAATTCCAAATATTTTATTGAATTCAAATTCCACCATTTGCTGTGGCGGGATTTGAACACAGATCCCCAGAATGTTATCTGGGTCTCTGGATTAACAGTTCAGCGATAATACCACTAAGCCATCGCCTCCCCTATTTAGGACCTATTTTCATAAACAAAGGTTAGATGCAATGAAAAATAAAATTTAATACTTGCTCAGAGGTTGCTCCCTCTAAAATATATAAATATGAGCTTCTTAATATACAAGTGTATTACTCATACTACAAATATTATACTTATTAAGGGAGGGATTATCAATGCTGGAGATTTGAACATTTTGTTTTTGGGTACTTAATGTCAGCATCACCAATCCCACCACCAGTTAAGTGTTTAGTAAATATCCTATTATGATAACAACCTGAGTAAACAACCCATTGTGGTATTATTTTGTCTTTCACTGTAGTCACATTGCGGACCCTGAATCAGATTGCAAATTGATTTTCCTGTGGTATACAACAAGAACTTGGATCTATAAAGCACCTTACAAACAGAAAAGAAAACGTATTGAAGTCTTTAATAGATATGTACAATAGGAATTGGATTTAGATTTTCCAAATTTATTTAACACAGCACTCTGTGGCCAGCAGGGGAAACTTTCATCGTGTCAGTCTCAGCTGGACCTGAACGCAAACTCCAAGGTGTAAAACTGGTGTAAACCCCAAAATGCTGGTACACATGGACCATTTGTCACCTCACAATTCTTTAGCTCTCACCTTTATATTTTTGCTATTCTGCACTTGGCAATGAACTTTTATTTTTTAGTTGTGATCTTTACAGAATTCTTGTATAGAGGACATCTTCTAAAACTCGGGATTCAAACCATCTCCCAGAATTGACTGAACCAACTTAAGAAGGTTCTGCCACTGAGAGCTAGCCTATAGAATTGAAAGCATTAGTTAAACAGTCCAATCTCCCTCAGTTGGCTCATACTCAGCCTACCTGCTTGAAATTGCCATTCTTTCGCTGCTCCCAGTCCATCATGTCGTGAAAGATTGGGATCATTACATTCCGTACCTCAGCTTGTGGCACCAGTGTGACACCCAGGAAGGGGCCAATCATTCCTGGGATAAAGTGAATCTTATTTTCACCTACAAACAAAATTAAAATACATATTTGTTTAAAGAAATGCATGAAACTTATGCCTATTGGCATTTTATTAATTAATCACAGCAACTTGGGTTAGGACAGTGTGAAGCATAAATTCTTGCCACCAAAATTTAAAGTAATTCAAGTAATTCAAGGTGTTGGACCCCAAAACCTGGGACATTATTCTCCTCTGGCGCAAGAGATGAGGTATCAAAAATGGACACTAAATACCTTTACTATGCTCTGCTACTGTGCTCTGATACTCCACACCTCTTTAATTCAGTCTGGACATTTCACGTTCTCTGAGAATTAAAATTAGCTTTATTGTCACGTGTACTCACATGAGCACAGTGAAAAGTTCATAAGTTGCTACTTATGATGTCATCTTAAGTATAAATGTACCTAGGTACAGATTCTTAAGTACAAATTCTTAGGAAAAAACTGGAAAAAGAAATAAAAAGTCCAGCATTTCAGACCTTCTCACTATCTTAGGTACAAAAGTACGAAATCATAGGAATAACTTAGAAAAATAAAGAAATAAAAAGTTCAGAATAACAGTCCTGCAAACCTGGTCTGTGCTGGCACCTAGCGTTCAGACCGTGCCAGGCCTCACTTCCAGATGGCACCGGGCTTCACCTCAAGGCTCGTACCACTCAATTTTCTTGTTTTAATCATTATTATTTAGAATTAATCTCAACATTAGAAGTAGTTGAACTTGGAAGATTTTAATTTGGGCAAAAACAGTTGATTTTCTAGTTGATAAAGATAGTAGATAGATGCTAAGGTTGATCTGAACATCTCAATAACATGCTGCAAGTTGAGGTTTCTATGAAACTCCTCCTGCACTGTGCCATACACTAAAGTATGTCAATCTGGATATTCATACAATATACAATAAAGACCACACTGCCATTTTATATAGTAATTTTGCATCGGTTTGCAAACAGATTCATAAAATTATACAGAGCTTAGAGCATATAAACAGGCCATTAGGCCCATTTGGTCCAGACTGATGCTTATGCTCTACATAAGCCTTTTCTTGCCACTTTTCATCTAATCCTTTTGGCATATTTTCTACTCTTTTCTCCTTTATATGTTTATCCAGTTTCTCTTTAAGGATATCTGTGCAATTTAATTCTGCAGTTCCACATTCCAATCAGTCTCTGGATAACAAAATTCCTTCCGAGTTTATCATTGAATTATTGGTGACTATTCTATAAACTGTAATAATATCTTCAAATTTTAGATTCAAATAAATTCAAAATATTAAGCAGTAGCTGTGACAAGATCCAGCATTGACGTTTATTGAAATGAACAAAGAAAACACTTTCATTTTTATCGTCATTTTCATGATCTCCACACGTCTCAAAGAGCTTTACAGCTAATGATGTACTTCTTTGAGTGTAGGAAGGTGGGGAACACAACAGCTAAATTGTGTACGGCAAACACTTAAAACATATTCAAAACATTTTCCCATTCTATCATTTTTTTGTGAAAGCATTTGCTTTTAACAGAATTGCTAATTGTTTAATGCCTAACTGGTTCCATCTCTTCCTCTGTGTTGGTATGCTTAGTGCTGTGACCAGTGGGATCATCTAAGAAGTTTCCAGTTTCAAATGATATTTTCTTAGAACAACCAATTTAGACACTTTTATGTGTAAACAAGAATCATAATCTGTCACTTGCTCTTGAAATAACTCCACAGAGGCCAGTATCCTATCACCAAGTAACCCTTTATTTACAAATGGACAGTCCTCGAATATAGTACTGCCTCACACAGAGTCAGGTATCAGAATATCAGTATCTCTGACACTCACCCTTTTTCTATGTCAGCTAAGGCTCTCAGATTGGACCAGATTAATAGTTCCAATCAGTGAACTCATATTCTACGAGGTCCAGTTGGCTGATCTCATTATAATCACTATAGCTCTTGTATACAGTTTGTAAATATATTGCATTTTTGGTGTCACAGGCATATGGTTGTGAGGAGAGGTTAGACATTGATGGTATAAAATGATTCCCAAAATCTAAACTATGAAGCTGGGAGAAGAACAGCTTTATTGGTAAAGAAGAATTAGAACTGTAACTGAGAGACTAGATATAACTCTAGAAAGGGAAGCAGCAGAGCAGAAATTATTTGACTCATTGGTTTCTGATATCAATCACCGGCTTAATCTGTTAGGTGGAGATCTGTTCGGAAAAAAACGAGTGATGCTATGGAAATTTATAATCTAATAATGATATCAGAAGCAATGTGGAGAGCCACAGATCCACAGGGAGAATGAGAGATCATAACATTCTTAAAGGTAGACTGTACTGCTTCTTGAAACAATCTATAAAGTGAAGAGTTACTACACACTGTCACTATCTGAAATAACTCCACAGAAGCCAGTATCCTTCACCAAGTCATCCTTTATTTACACATGAACAGTCCTTGGCTTTAGTACTGCCTCATTTAGAGCCAGGTACCAGAGTGTCAGCATCTCTGGAGCACCTTTTTATCTGTTAGCCAGGGTTCCCTGATTAGACCAGATTAACAGCTCCAATCAGGGAACTCATATTCTTTGAGGTCCAGCTGGGCCAGGAGGCCCGGGTTCAAGTCCCACCTTTTTCAGAGTTGTGTAATAATATCTCTGAACAGGTTGATTAGAAAAATAGGTTAATTAAAAAAAAAATCCTTGAAACAAGGATGACATCTGCCAGGCTTCATGATCTTGTATACTGTATCAGCTGACTAATCTGGAGCCATGGGTCTTTTGGCAGAGAGGGCGAAGACGTTCCTTAAGGAAATGAGGGTCTTGAGGCAAGGTTCTGCTCCATCTTCTGATTTTGTCACTTCTCTGCAGAGTTTATACATTCATTTCCATAATCTGTTGCAGCTCGTTAGATATATCAAGTTTCTCCTACACACTAATTTCAATTTGCCCCTTTTCAATTGGTACCCTTAATATTTTTCTGTCTTCCTTCAGATCAGATACTGTCTTTAAGCTGTGAAAACAGGGTCTGCTCTGGAAGTTGATGATTTGGACGCAGATATACCAGTAACATTGATTGCACACGATCATGTGATGCTGAAGGAACTAGCATCAATGAGGATATTGTGTTTGTTCACTAATCTTCACACTGACTATTCTGTTGAGACACTGCTCGTGGATTTCCCTGATGCTTGGAAGTGCCTTTGGTAAGTGTCCCATGTTGCAATGCCATATAGAAGAGAGGTGATAACAATTGTATTGTGGGCTAAAGCTTTGCCCTCTCATAGATCTCTGTGTCATCACAGACCCGATTACAAAATTTGTGGAAGGCAATGTTGGCACAACTGGTTCTGTGCTAGATTTCTTCTTTGCTGGAAACTTTTAGAGAAAAAAGCTGTCAAGATACTGGAAGTGTCCAAGGATGTGTAAAGTTGCCCCAGTAATAACAATAGCTGGAGATATAGGTGCCTGCTTGGTGGGGAGATGTGGAGGATTTTGGTTTTGTTGATGTTACATATGAGACCTTTTTTTAATATCAAGTTAAAAAGGTGAAGGTGGTCTGAATGTCACTTGCACAGTTGTTGGTATCTTCTAAGATGGGGAGAGTTGAAGGGTTATCTTGGTCTTGGCTGTCTTGAAAAGTTTTCCATCTAGTCAAAATGTAATTGTACCTCTTCTGGAAGTTAGTCACAATAGTTGGGACAACCATTCAGGCTTGCTTGATAGCTGTCTGGATACGAAAAAGCTTGGTCTCTAATCCACTGCAAAGGACGGTCATTGAGGTGCTCCAGGATACGAACATACCAACAAGGAGCAGAAGTGGCATTCAGCCCCTTGAGTTGCTCTGTTATTCAATAAGATTGTGGCTGCTTTGACTGTAACTGCAATGTTGGCATTCCTGACTACCTCAGGTGGTGTTTCACCCTATTGTTTATTGATAATCTATCCACTTCTGCTGAAAAATATTCAAGAACACTTTCCACCATCTTTTCAGTGAGAGCTTCAAAGACTCACAGCCCCTTGAGAGAAAAAAAAATCACCTAATCTCTGGTTAAAAGGACTCCCCATGATTTTTAAGTGATAACTGGTTCTAAACTCTCTGTTAAGAGCAAACATTCTCTCCAAGGCCCCCTTGATGTTTTAATCAAGTCACCTAGAGTCAGAGTTGTACAGCATGGAAACAAACCCTTCAGTCCAACTTGTCCATGCCAACCAGATATACTAAATTAATCTAGTCCCATTTGCCAGCATTTGGGCCATATCCTTCCAAACCTTTCCTATTCATATACCCATCTAGATACCTTTCAAATACTAGGTGGCCCAGGGTTAGCACTGCTGCCTTGCTGTGCCAGGGACCTGGGTTTGATTCCACTCCCAGATGACTGTCTGTGTGGAGTTTGTACATTCTCCCTGTGTCTGCACGGGTTTCCTCCAGGAGCTCTGGTTTTCTCCCACAGTCCAAAGATGTGCAGGTTGAGTGAACTGGCCATGCTAAATTCCCCATGCTGTCCAGGGATGAGCAGGCTAGGTGCATTAGACATGGGAAATTCAGGGTTACAGGGATGAGGCGGGTCTGGTTGGGATGCTCTGTGGAGGGTCAGTGTGGACTAGATGGGCTGAATGGCCTGTTTCCACACTGTTGGGATTCAATGATACTCTTCTAAACTCCAGGGGGAGCAGGCCTACTCTGTTGAACCTTTACTCATAATCCAATCCATTAATTCCAGGTAGTTTTGATAGGTCTTCCCTGAAATCCTTCCAGCACATTTACATCCTTCCTTAAATAAAGTAACCAATACTGTGTACAGTAATCCAAATGTGGTCTCATCAATGCTCTCTATAACAGAAGCAAAACTTCCATAATTTTGTATTCAAATCCCTTCACAATAATTGATAACATTTTAATAGATTTCCTAATTACTTGATGTACCTGCATACTAATCTTTTGTTATTCATGCACTCAGGATAGTCAGATCCTACTGTGTCTTACTTCTTTTTTATTCTTACTGGAATACCAAAATGGACAA